TTTCATTCATATTTGGTGCCACTATTTATAGGGGTAGAGAGACCTAAATCACCTACCACCCATAATTGGTAGGTTACAAATATATAATGGTGGATATTATGATAGGTTAAGTGGCTATTATTGTGGGCATCCATAACCTATAAACCTATAACGTATGGATTTATAACAAATTGGTTTTAATTTCTTTATCTTCCGGTTAAAGTTTCTCAATGATAATTTTAATCGAGTTTAATTTGAATTAAAGAGCATGAAACATATTTTGCTTAAAGAAGAATTGAACCTTGATGCCTTAGCATTTCCATTATTGATATTTCATTTTTAAACTCAATCTCTACAACAATCAAATCAAATTACTTGTCCATTTTGCTTGTCACTTTTATTTTGTTACTTTTAATTATTTCTTTGTGTGCAGACATTTGCCTACCTGCTCCTTGAGGATACGATACTTGGACTTCCAAGATTATTACTACGTGTGACTACTTGCACTTGGGTATACGCAACAGAATCAAGCAATCAAAATATCTCCATCAGTGTGATCCCACAGATTTAGGAGGCCTTAAAAGAAAGGAGTTTCAAAAGAGTGGACCTTGTGCCATTTAATGTGCAACCCATGGGCTAACAGATGCCCCTATATAAACCACGTCATACGAAGGGAGAAGACACATCATTAGACACACACACACCTATTTTTCGTCTCGCTCTTTTCTTTTCAAGCACTTAGTGTAGCAAGTTCTTCATTTTCTTAGTGTAAGTTTTATTTTTTTGCAATTTACATTATCTTGCTTTTAAATTCATGATTATTTAAATTTTTTTTGTTATCGAATTATGTTTAAGCATTTTTATTAAGTTTAACTTCAGTGCCTTATCATTTTTGTTACTTTTCATTTCATTCTTCGTTTAATTTACGTTCGTTTATCGCTTTGATCTATTTTATCGCACTTTAATTCTTGACTTTAAATTTAATCACATCTTTCAATTAATTGCATCATTTTCACTTAAAAATCGTAAAAATCACAAAAACATCCATACTAAACTTAACCTCCTCAAGCCCGAGAAAGTAAAAGAACCTAGGCCAAGAGGAGGTTCCTTGCTTGCCTAGAAGGACCAAAAGTTTCTTTCGTCGGTCACCTCGACCGAAAAGGGGGAAACATAATTAGGCACACCCAATAGGACACACTATATGACCGACCGAAAGGAATTGCAATATTCCTATCAGCCGATGAACTACAATGGTTATGATTTTTATGGCTCGAGTAGCCAATCCATCGACTAACATGATGACTACAACCACAACAGCCATTACAGTTTTATCCATCATGGTTGGTCTAACAACCAATATGACTCAAGTAGCCAATTTGCTGGGCAATTGGTGGGCACAACTATATTGGCGGATATCATCTTATGAACCAAAATGGTTCGAATGATCAACATGGCTTTGGTGGCATAACCAATCAATTGGCTTGGGGGCAATACACGTACCTATATTGCCAAAACGATCTCACCTATATGTACAATGAGCCTAATTATTGTTCCCACCAAGGAGATCATCATATTGGCTATAATGGCCAATATAATCTCAAGGTGGGTGAGACGCCATCTAGTGGCCTTACCCACATGGTGGAAGAATATATTAATGAGATGAAGGAAACATCTAAGATGATTGTTTTATTAAAAGAGTTCGCAGATGGATTGCAAACTTCCCACGACCTTTTCGTCCAAAGTTTGAGTGAGATTTCATCTCGACATAGCCAACGAGACGAAGGGCAAACTCTTAACCCCCAACCTTGATTCTCAGTCACAAGAGGAAAATCCTCACATGATTGCAATTTGGCCACCCACTGTCCTAGAGGAAAATGAGGTTGGTAGGGAATATGAGAGTGAGATAGTGGGCGAAACGACCTTAAAATTGAATATTCACGTCCAGTGGATGGCAGTGGTGTTCCAACTTTCAAAATGCCAAACACCAAGGCAGTCAATGGTATAGGAGTAGAGGTTCAAAGCTTCCTCTGATACCTCTGAGAAAAACTCAAACAAGAAGGGCTTAGAGGTAATATGCCATCACTTGCAATGGTGAGGTGAAATGGTCGGACAAGAGGCAAGCCCAACTTAACCGATTGGTTGAGCTATTGGTTGAGCTTCGAGAGAAGCTTCGGTTGGAAAAGTTGGTGTTGGCCAAGGCTGAGGTTGTGGCTTCATTGGAGGGAGCAGCGGCCAAGGAAATGAGGCTACATCAAGAATGGGTAAATGGCCAAGTTGTGGTGACGGCTATGGAAGAACCAATCTTAGAGTTGGAAGCTCATCTGATAGGAGCCTTTGAAGCTAACAATTCCAAGTCCGAGCCTAAGAGGTCAACCAAGGTGAGAAAGAAAGGGTGGTTCAGCCGAAGGTTTAATCTGTAGTCACCAAGACTCAAGTAGTGACCAAGGTGGCCTGATCGCCGAGGTTGAAAAGAAAGGAGAGAACGACTAGAATATGGTCGAGGAAGTCAAGGGTGTACCTCATATTAAAGAAAGTAAGCTAAAGGTGGAGGAAGACCAAGTCATGGTCCACGCCAAAACCAACAAGGTAGAACAAAAGGTCGTGCATACGGCTGAAGGAGAAACTAAAGAGGCTTAGGAAAACCCTGAAGGTATAATAGCCGAAGATAAAGAGCTCTGTGGAGACAATGAGGAGTATGGTGATGACGAGTATCTAGAGGAACTTTCGGAAGAGACTATGGAGCATCTCGAGAAGGAATGTAAGGAAGAGATGGCCAAGTTTGAGAATGAGCTGAAGGTGGGTAAGACCAAAGTAAAGTTCAAGGAGTTTGATGAGGTCGACGCCATGGTGATCACACTTCTGCTATTCTTTGAAGCTCACCTAGGGTAACCCAATTCTATGGATGGAGATATATTCAATGAGGTTGAATCCATGGCCCAAATGAACAAGCCTAAGGAAATCATTGTAACTCGAGAAGTTCTGAAGCAAGAAGTGGCCCAACCTCAAATCGTTATGCCAAAGTCGGAGGAGAAAGTGCCAGAGAAGGTGTGCTATGAAATGCCCACCAAGAGAATGTCCTCCGACCTTAAGCCTCTATATGTGGGTGCTTATTTTGACGAAGTTCTAGTGACCAAGGTTCTTATGGATACGGGAGCTATGGTCAACATCCTCCTAGCTTCGATTATGAGGAAATTGAAGAAGGGTTCCGACGAACTAATTCGGACCGAGACAACAGTCAGTGGCTTCGTGGAGGATACCACGACCTTAAAGGGGATCATCCCACTTCAAGTTAGAGTGGGTTAGAAGCTTAAGGTGACGACTTTCTTTGTAGTGGAGACAATGACTCACTTCATGCTTTGTTTGGCCGAGATTGGATCCACAGAAGCATGTGTGTTCCTTCTTCACCTCATCAATTCTTGCAATTTATGCATGAGGATGGAAGTGTAGAGATGGTTCAGGCCGATTCACGGCCCTTCATGGCTTCCGCCAACACGTTGGAAGCAAAATTTTATGAGGATAATATTGGACCTCTTTACTTTATTGGATCATATAGGAATGGATGACCTATGGGAGTCTCGGCCCAAAAGTTGATACAGTTGGGGGTACATAATGCCCAAACGGATGTGCAGTACCCCATGATGGCTTACTTCTTCTCTCTAAATAAATGATATAACTAATGAGGAAGGGAAGAGAGCCACGATGGAAGACACTTTGAGATTGGTTGAGAAATATTTCCACGAAGGTCCAAAATGGATGGTTCGGCACCAACTGAGATGGATGATTTGAAGGCGGAAGTCTAAGATCCATTGTTGGAGATCAACCTAGGGACGGAAGATAACCATCGACACTAATCGACATTAGTGGCCTGATGGAGTCAGAACTTTGGACCAAGATGAAGGAGCTTTTAAGAGAGTTTAAGGATTGCTTTGCTTGGGATTACACCGAGATGCCTGGATTGAGTCATGACTTGATCGAGCATCGTCTTTTGACAACGAAGGATTTCAAGCATCCACCTCGCCGAATGTTGGCGGAAGTAGAATTGTAGGTCAAGGAAGAAATTGTAAAGCTTGTTAAGCCAAATTTATTAGGCTAGCTAGGTATGTAGAATGGTTTTCAAATATTGTACCTCTAAAGAAAAAGACCGAAGCAATAAGAATTTGTGTTAATTTTTGTGACATTAATCTTGCAACTCCCATGAAATTTTGTTGATGGGATAGCCAAGCATAAAATTTTGTCCTTCATGGATGGACACTTCGGCTATAACCCAATTTTCATAGCCGAGGA